TACTCCATGCCACGTGTAGCCGCGCGGCACAGGGTTCGAACTAGCCGGCATTTAAAAATGGCGCCAGCCGGCTTCATGCAAATGAAGCCCGGGAAATTCAAATCCCGGGCTTTATTTGCAAGTGCGGTATGCCTACATTACCCCGCTAGTTCGAACTAGTGGGGTAGTGTAGACATACCCCATGTGATTCCCTATGTCCACCACCCCAGATCTCCTGTTGCCCCAACCCCATCAATGACCCCCCCAGCCCTGACACCCATCAAGGTCACATTGGGGCATTAAACAAACAATCCAGATGAAAAACTTTCACTTTGTCATAGAAACAACCTCCCCCCACAACCCGGCCCTCCCAACAGCAATTTACTGGGAGGAGAGATTGGCTGACTAGGGCCCCCCATCCTCCTACTTTAACCCACCAGTCCCCCACTCCCAGCTCTAAGGAGAAAACCCAGGAGTCCTGGCTCCCAGCCTGGCCCGACCCCCAGCAAACTCACTGGTACGAGGCCCGCACACGGGTGCGCTCGGGGTCACTGTAAAACCGCTCCAGCGTCTCGTGGGCGTCAGGCCCCACGCTCCGCCAGCCAGTGCTCTCCCTCAGCTGCCAGTGGTAGGGCAGGAGGGTGTGGTGCTGGGGGCAGCTGGTGCCAGAGAAGCAGCAGCCCAGAAGGAAGCGGGGGCAGATGTCCACCCCATCCTCGGGGTGCGTGTGGTACTCCAACTGGGCCACGATCTCCAGGAGGTGGTCCAAGGTCAGCTCTTCACACCCAGGCCCGGGCTCCTGGGCCGGCTCCGGAGCCACCTCCACCTCCCCCAGCGCCAGCTCCACTATCTCCCCATAGGGGTCGCTGGTGGGGGTGGCTGGAGCTGTGGGGGGTGAGCCAGGGGCTCTGGGGACACTGCCCAGCTCTGGGGGATGGTGCTGGAGCCGCCACATGTGAGCCTTGTTTCGCAGGATGATGGGGCAGATGCGGCGGAGCGCCTTCCGGCGGGAGTGTTTGAGCTGGGTGGGCGGTGGAGCTGTAGGGGCACCATTGCTGGCCGCCATGGGGCGCTGCGACACAGCCTGATCCTCAAGGGGAGAGCTGGAAAACAGGCAGAGAATGACCAAGAGTTAGTGCTGGGGGTCAGAACCCAGGAGTCCTGGCTCCCAGTCCCCTCCCCCCGCTCTAACCACCAGTCCCTGCTCCTCTCCCAGAGCTGGGGAGAGAACCCAGGAGTCCCGACTCCCAGTGTACCTGGTGCTCTACACTTCACAAAATAGACAGCCACCCTACAGCAGCTGGGGGAGGATGCCTGATGGAGGAACCCTGGGTCAGCGCCAGTGCCCGAAGGGGAGCAGCTGGATTGGCTGGGGACATGGCCTTTCAGATGTGAAAAAAACAGGAAATAGAGGCAGGGAGTGTTATCAGGTGGGGGGAGAGGAAGAACCTGTGACATATTAAGTCATTCAAGCATCAGCAGTGCTGCAGGACCTGAGCCAGGGCCCGATGGGCACAGGCCAGCTTATGCAGCTCCCGCCCTGCTGGCTCAAGAAGAATTGGCCTGGGGAACTCCCTCTCACAGTTGACATGCATCTGATGAAGTGGGTCATTGCCCACGAAAGCTTATGCTCCAATAAATCTGTTAGTCTCTAAGGTGCCACAGGACTTCTCATTATTTATGCAGATTCAGACTAACATGGCTACCACTCTGATCCCTGCCACAAAGATCTAGAGGCTAGGACCCAGAGAGGGGTCAGACAAGGACTGGGGTTGCAAAAATAACCAGAGCCCTCCTCTTGTCCACAGCTGGAAAGAGAACCAAAAGTTTTGGTTTCTAGCTGGTCGCCAGCACAGCCAGGATGCTGGGATAGATGGGTCTGATCCAGTGTGATGACTCCCCACATCTCTGGGCTAATGATGGTCTGTTTGAGGTGTGCAAAGGGTTAGGTTTCGGAACTGACGTCTAGAGCTGGGGTAAATCCTGTCTTTTAGGAAGCCAAGGCTGCCCCAGCCTTTAATCAACCTCCCTTCTAGGAAACAAGAGTGGGATGGTATAAAGACAATTTGTGAGCAATCCCCATCTGCACACCCCTTTGTGTGCGTGATTGAAGTGCACACCCTCCTCTTCTCATCCTCATGCCATTGGAAACTTGCCCCACCCTGGCAGAAAAAGGCCGATTTGGGGACACCAAAATTGGTTGTGAATGTGTGGTGATTTCACCTTGCTGTTCACGTGGGGGTGGGGAGGTAGTTTTGGATTTAAAAAAAGGGGGATGTATTTCAAACATGTTTTGAAACAGACAAAATGGGAAGTTTCTTTCAATGCCAAGATTCGTGGGAACTTTTGCACTTCGCTGCTTCTGGTCTCGCCTGAAATTTGACGGTGGCTTTTCAAAAAAGCCGATGCTTTCCCCAGCCTCATGTGTGTCTTCACCTTGATTCGCTAAATAGGTTGAGGGCTGTTAAGTTTTTCCACACCCTTTTGAATCTTCTCTAATGATACCACATCTTTCATGAACTACTCTCTGTGTTGGCCTGGGCTGTGAATGAACCATGTCTCCACCAACACAGCTGTGCTAACCCAAATCCCAATGGACATAGGGATGCTTTCCCCAGCCTCATGTGTGTCTTCACCTTGATTCGCTAAATAGGTTGAGGGCTGTTAAGTTTTTCCACACCCTTTTGAATCTTCTCTAATGATACCACATCTTTCATGAACTACTCTCTGTGTTGGCCTGGGCTGTGAATGAACCATGTCTCCACCAACACAGCTGTGCTAACCCAAATCCCAATGGACATAGGGATAAGCC